CACAAGCAATGCAGATACACATGGCGAGTGTGAGATATAGATTGAGACAATGAATTACAAATACATATAGGGAACTAGGGAGCTACGAACTCTTACACTATTTGTCGTGAAGTCGCTTCTACAGTACTTTTCGACGAGGAATGTAGATGCGTGAGCTCTCATCATCAGATTCCTCTTGAGCTCGTCCCCAACGACGAAGACGACGGGGTGTGAAGAACGACGATGATGATGTGATTGAGTGATGCGCCGGCTTCACAGGTGGTGATTCTAGGGTTTGGGCGGCTTGAGCGGGTGCAGACGATTCTTGCACCATATTTACGCGATAGTTGTCACCACCGTTGTTATCCCAGAATTCTTGGCCTCCAGCCAAGAAACGCACGCAGAATTGGCATTGGCCGTCCTGCAACAATATCAATCAGATGTGCAAATAAATTTGGTCGTTTAATTTTTAAGCGAGAACTGGTCCCCTGAAGGGAGTTCTCATGAGTTTTAACTCTCAGCCCAACCAAAGTGATACCCCACTACTGAATCACCAATTTTACGAGTATGTGAACTCTACCCTATACCAAAAATTGCAGCTGGAAGTGCGCTTCATGACTTCTTGTAAAAATTTAGTCCTTACAATGCGAGAACTGGTCCCCTGCAGGTGAATCCCAGATATTTCGACTCCCAGAACTACCAAGGAGATATGCGACTAACGCAAATAACACAAATATCTTAATTTTACCCTTATCCAATTTCAGCCCTAAATTCGCGCTTGATCGCTTTTTATGCGAAAACTGGTCCCCAGCTACGCTTGGTAACGAGGAACGGTGTGAGAGTAAGCCCTATGAATTTCGAACCCCTAGTTCTACTAAGCTGATGGTGAGACCTATTTTAAAAGTGCGACTTAAACCTAACCCGAAACTCAAGGTCTGGATCTGCTATAGCTGATGCTTACGCGAGAACTGGTCCCCACTGTGCTAAATCGCTAACACCTTTCAAAATACGCTAAATTCCAGATTACCTTTGATCTTCTTACACAAAACTAAATACTACTTTTACTTATTATTTTCCGACAGCAAATATTT